TTCTTCAGCTCTCAGGCACTTGGTGGACACCAAAACGCTCATAAGAGAGAAAGAACATTAGCTAAGCGTGCTATAAGAATGGGTATTTTCTCGGAAAGGTATGCCAGCCTAGCATCGTTGCCTCTACATGGATCCTCATTCCGATCCCTAGGGATAGAGGCACATTCTTCAGTGCACCAAAACTTTGCACCACCAGTAAGGTCACTAGAAATAAGCAGCAGTGCAAGATTTGATCAAGGTTATGCAGGTCTGCCAGTATTCATGGAAGATGATGAGGCAGAGTTGTTATGGCCAGGCAGTTTTCGACAGGTAGCTGTGGCAGACGATGCTCATCAAAGTTTTGTAGTCGCAGGAAGTTCAAACATGATTTTTTTGGGGGCAACTCCACCAGTGAACTTAGATGATTCTGCGCCAGATCTTACACTAAAACTTTGAGAACATTGCTTGCAGTATTTATGCTCCGATATTAGCTCTTGTATAGCAAGTTGTGCAATGGACCATGGCTGAACTTTTATATTCCCTGTTAAGAATTTGTATGTCAGTGTATAAGAGCTTCACAGAGATTATTCTGGAGCTTCTTCGTTTGCTATATCTATGTGATTGATCCTTTTAATTTGCTGTAATCGGTAGTTTGATTATGTATTCTGTCTCTCTAATTTCTAATGGTGGTTGATCATTTCGACAGTATGCTTCAAGTACAAGTCTGTAGGCATCGCAATCGGGTCACAGATTAACTCGGCAGTGGAACGTTTTATCAGCAGAGTAAAACCTGCGACAGAAATAGAAGTATTTTTTAAGCTCTAATCTACAGTATCATTCAAACAAAAGTTAATCAACGAAAACAGACGGGGGGAATCTTCAAGCACCATATAAATTTGCAAGATCGTTGAATTATGAACATGAACTATCCAACAAAGAAATTAACAATCGATGAAGTTCAATTACAACCAGGAGGATGCAGGAGTCCAGCCATATGACTAAACACAAAGATTGACGTACTATCTAGTTGACTTCATGCAACTATAAGATCTAGCAGAAAACATCGATATCTAGAAACTTGCTTTTACTCGAGCTATGACTGATCTCCTTCTCTTTATAATAGGTATTCAGTGTCAAAAGAGAAGGCCTGAATTGGGAAGTGAAGGAGCCTCTGGAGTCGAAGAAATCCTTCAGGTAGGACGCTGATCTTGTCTCCTCCTCCTTATTAGCAGCAGAGAGCCCCTCACGGGCAATATCTTTAGACCCATTATCAGTATCCATATCTAGGAAATAAAAAAGATACAGAAGAAACAGTAGCACAACTTTATTTCCACACAGAAAACTATGCTTCTATTTTCCTTTCTCGCACACTATGACTATGGTTTTATCAAAGCCTTGTTGAAGACGAACGACTAACCTGATACATGCACACGCATTCATATACTCTCCTAAACCGACCAAGGATGTGTCCTGCCCTGATTCGGATGGCAGCTAGCTAGGGCCTCCTTGGATTTACTTTGTTTCCAAAATCCTCCATGTTAAGGAAATTTAATCCTGCTTAAATTTGGATTACTGAGGATATATACTTGACAACATTCATATCCTCATCCGATGAGGATACAAATTCTCTATGTAGATTGAAACATGCTATAAATGCATGTTTACTTTTAATCCTTGGCTTAGATGTCAAAGTACAAAACAGTCCCTAAACTAAACAAATGGGCTTTTAATATACATAGATGATCGAAAGAATGAGAAACTATTTCAATCATATGATCAAAGTAGTTGATATACTCAATGCTTGCTACTGCAACTCTAGTTTTCTGAATATCCACTTGTTTTTCCAATTTGATCAAATAAGGATTCTATTATACAATCTTATAATTAAAGGATCAAAATGTAGTTTAGCATTTTGTGTGTAGTGAGTTTGTGGCTCCATCGTTTGCTCTCTCCTTCATTCACGTCCAGAAGTAGGACAAGCCAACTCATTAATGGAGTCCTTGTAGTCCCAATGCCCAAAAAAATAAAAATAAAATAAACAACACAGGAAAAAATTAAATAATTTTTGACGTTTTTCATCCTTCACCTTGTTCATCTGTTACACTTAGGACCGAAAATGCAGGTTTTGCTGAATAGAAATGCTTGGCAGCCCAAACCATACTACAAGTCTACAAGCCCGTCAGACAAATTTGGAAGTCTTCTTTCTGGTACAGTTTCTTGCTCTTCCCCCAAGCAAAAAACGACAGTACGTACTAAAATAACTCAGGTGCAAAGACATCCAATGACACTACGAAGAAGAAAAAGGAAGATGAAGCTTCTATCAGCAAATGGGAGTGTAGAACATTTGATGGATGATCAAGGAGAAGATAGCACAGATTCTCTGGAGTCCGGCATTAAGCAAGGAAACATCCGTAACGCTCAAAGAGGGTTTTCAGAAATGAAAACAGAACTTGACAGAGAGTAAGCAGTTCAGGAGATGCCAGCTGATGGTCAGACACCGGGTTTCAGGGATATACACTCTGGTTTATGGAATGAGTCATATATTAGATGGCATTCAATTGACTCAGAGGGGAAATCGGGGGTGTTCTAGCAATGTGGAATGACAAAAGTTTTTAGGTAGAATCAATTGAACTTGGTGGAAACTGGATAACACTCTTTGGGAATCATGTTCAAACAAGCTTTCACTGTGCAGTAGGGGTAGTTTATGCTGCGAATTCTATCTCTAAGCGTAGAATTTTGTGGAAAGATGTCATTATCTTAAAGCATGCATTCGATGTACCCATGTTTGTGGTAGGAGACTTTAATGAGACACTGAATGCCTGTGAAAGAAGTAGTGGGTTTCTCAATTTAGCAGGCTTAAAGAAGTCCAAGTCCTTTATCAATAGTTGTGATTTATTGGAATATCATCTTCATGGACATCGATACACTTGTTTTCGGGAAAGTTCAATGAGTAGAATTGATAAAGCATTTGTTTCACCGACTTGTCATCTTCAGTTTCCAGAAATGGTTTTAACCAGATTTCCAAGAGGTCTTTCAGATCATAGTCCTGGGACCATCAACACAAAATTGGGGCTATAAACCATTAAGTTTTTTTGGCTGTGGGGTAAATCATCCAAGATTTATGAAGAAATTAGAGTAGTTTTGGAGAGAGAGTTGTCAGCAATTTCCAGGTAGATTCAGTTTGGTGAAAAAAACCTAGTTATATGGCCGAAAACACTACGGGGCTGGAATAAGATGGTCATTGGTAATCAGGATAATAGATTGCTAGAGATTCAGAATGGAACAAAGGAATTAGAAGATGCAGGGGAGAGTCGGGAACTTACTATTACAGAAAGAAGCAAGCTGAATAGTTTGGTTTCAGAGCAGTGGGAGGTTAGTAGAAATGTGGAGGCCGCTTGGAGACAAAAATCAAGACAGAACTGGTGCAAGTTGGGGGATAGAAACTCGCGATTCTTTCATTTGGCAGCAGGCATGAGAAGATCGCGTAACAGTACTATCTCCAAGATCATTTATGGTGCCGCGCACCACAATCACCTCTCCATCGGACATAATGACTGCTGCAGTATCCTTTCACTCCAATCTTTTCACCAGACCAAATCATCGAAGGGCTGCATGGGAGTAATGGGATTTAAAGGTATTTCTCCTCAATTGTCTACTTGGCTGGAACAGGATGCAACTTTGGAGGAAGTTAAGCAAGCTGTATGGGACTGTGATGGAACTAAAGCTTCGTGTCCAGATGGATTCACTCTTACTTTCTATAGGAAAGCCCGGCATCTGCCCGGGTTTGAGATTCTTCACATGGTAGATGAACTACTACTAAGAAATTTTCTAAATATCTGTTCAGTAGAGAGTGTTGTAATGTTTAGAGAACTAACTTCCTATTTTGTGATATATGTTTTTGTTTATCTAATAAATAATAACTTAAAAATAAAAGATATAATTTATTATTTATAATTTTTTTTTAAAAACCTTATAAATTAGTAAAATTAATATCAATTTGTTCCTTAAATAATATCTATATATTAATTCATAAAAATTTTAGAAATTAATTCAATCAAGTCCATATTTTATTTTTTTAAGTCTACAAATATAATTTCTACATTAATTATATTTTATTCCTTAATTTCTAAAATATATTTTAATCCAGTTATACTTAATCATCTTACTTTAATTTTATAATTTATATTTTTAATGTTTGTTATCCATTAAATTATTAATATGTTATTCCAAATATAAATTATAATTATAATTAAATAAATTAAATAATTTAATTTATTATTAATTCAATATTTAATTAGTTTATATTTAAAAATCACATATATTGTCTAGTCTAATTTATTATCAATTCAATATTTAATTAGTTTACATTTGAAAATCACATGTATTACCTAGCCTAAAAACGTGTTATCATCCTCTAAATATTAGAAAAATTATTAACAATTTAACTTAACTTTTCAATGATTTATTTTTTAGTGTAATTAGTATTATTTCATTAATAATATCTAAAAACGTGTTATCATCCTCTAAATATTATAAAAATTATTAACAGTTTAACTTTTCAATGATTTATTTTTTAGTATAATTAGTATTATTTCATTAATAATATTTTAATTTAATATTAAAACATGAAATATATTTATAATTTTAAATCATTCTATAACCTAGGAAATATCCTTGTTCATCGCAAAAATATATATTTAGTGGTGATAGGTTAAAATAAATATAATATCTCATTCAAGATATTGCAAGAGTGATTGCGTACATATTTAATTAACCCCAAGCGCAACGTTTTCAAACAATTTTGATTTATTATATAAAAACCCATTTTCAAAAAGTCGCCGCCATTGAATTAGACTAGTGGTAACAAAAAACCATTCTTTAAACATTAGTCAATATTTTTCATTCAAGTATTACATAGTTAATAGTTAACAGACGAAAACTGGTTTGTTGATACACAGAATTAAGTATTCTAAAAAATAATACAGCTAAATTGATCAGAAATTGTGAGCTACATGATGGATTCTATATATGTGACCACAAAAGTGGAGTTGAAGAAGATAGAGTTAACCACTAAAAACATGGAGTCTTCGAGGTTCATTGATATTTGTTTCTTGGTGTTCTGTGCAAGTCTTGTCATCCCAACAAGAAGCCACAGTTACTCTCATGCTGCCTTGTTTATCTTTGGAGATTCGTTGTATGATGTTGGAAACAATAATTATCTCAAGAATGCTCTAGCTCGGGTGAATATCAAGCCATATGGACAAACCTTTTTCAAGTATCCCACCGGAAGAGCTTCTGATGGCCGATTAATTCCTGATTTTATTGGTAAGGACTATACTTAGGGATGTTCTTCATATAAAAGCTTCTTTGCTTCACTTTTTTGAATTGAATGGTTGGATATGATATTCTTGTTTCGAAATTCACTAGTTCAAAAATTATTGTCCTGCAAGCTAGTTATAGGATTGGTTTGCGTAACCCTTGCATCCCGAAAAGCAGGATTTCTTTTTTTTTTAAAAAAAAACAAAGTTGAGTGCATTGTGAGAAATAAGTAGATACTGCGGGAAGGATTTAACGATGGGGCATATTTTACTGTTTAGTGTTTATATTATACAGAAACTTGGCATTTAGGAGTCTGAACTTGGGTCAATCCAACTAGGGATGGAGTTAGAGCAAAATAAACGGGGTTATGTGAAAACAAACACCAAGGAGGATCGACATAGGCAAAACCAAGTTTTGAAAAGAAAAGGGCCCAACCAGGCCCAAGAAACGTAACCTTGCAATTGAGAAGAAAGGTAAGAAAATAGCGAGAAAGAAAGGGAAAAAAGGTATGGAAAACAAGGGAAAACAGACTACATAGCTCTAGTAGAGTTCTTTCGCCAGCACTTGTTATTCCACTACATGTATCTTGCCAAGACAAAGCCACCGCTACCACAAAGAGACCATCATCTACGGGTACAAGTGGCCTCACATGTTGTCAGACGATGACAGGCTTATGCACACACCAACGCATGTATGCACCAAAACATGTCATGCACATGCCAAACACATTAGTTTTTTTTTCTATTTCAATCCCTAATTCTTTAGGAACTCTCCAATTTAGTCCCTGAAGGTAACCAAATCAAACCCTATAATAGCCCAACCGAGGAGAGAAAAAGAAGAGAAGGGAACAAAAAGGAAAAAAAGAAAAGAAAAGTAGAAAGAAAATGGCCCTACAATCTCGTCCCAACCAAGCCCACCAAGAGAAGAGAAGGAGCGTTAGAAAAGAAAAAAGATAAAAAAAAATGATGTAAATTATATTTTTTTAATTTTTATATGGTTTTGATATATTGATATTAAAAATAATTTTTTTAAAAGAATAATATTTTAATATTTTTTTTTAAAATACTTTTAACGATTACCATATTTCCAAACTTACCTTTAGATTATAATTGACACATTAAATGATGTTCAAGGCACGCCTAGTCAACGCCACCGTCCTGAATTCTCCATTTTAAAAGCTACGAGAGCGGCACACGCTTGAATTTTCTATTTTACGAGTTAGTAGTACAACATACCACAATATATTTTTTTCACAGGGTGAGCGCTTCCCTAAACAATTAGTTTTACAGTTCAATTGTGCTGTTGTTTATCATAAAATAATTATTCTCCATGATTTCCCTCTAAGTAGGATGCACAGTATGTCCACAACCCTACCCCCACAAGGCAAATTCATGTGATCCCGTGGTATATAAATATAGGTATGGGACACAACACAGGGAAACAGATCCACACAGAGCTTATGCAACGTCCACAACACATTCTTCTACATTTTCGTTCTTCTTCCTTCATTCATTATTTTTCCCAAATGCTTCCCCTTATTCTATATAGAGGTTAATGGATATATCAACACATTGTGATGTTAATGGTTTATTTTGTTCTTTAAAACTTATTATTATCGACACAAAATGTTTTTTGCAAAATGATGCTTGTAATTTTGCTGCAGCTGAGTTCGCAAAGCTGCCATTAATTCCACCATATTTGCAACCTGGAAACCGTCAATTCATTAATGGAGTCAACTTCGCATCAGGGGGAGCTGGTGCTCTTGTTGAAACTAATCAACGACGGGTATGTGGTCCAGTTGCCTAGCTAGGCCTCTCTCTTTTTTTATGTGTCCAGGTTAAGATCATCATCAACAAACTAGAAACTTGCTACTTGTTGGAGTGGATTTTGCTTATTGTGATTATTTATACTAATTAATCATGTTTTATCACTTTCTCCTGTTTGGTTCTTTCGAAGGTGATAGACCTTAAAACTCAACTTAGGAATTTCAAGAATATAGAGAAGCAGCTAAGAGAAAAAGTTGGAGTTGCAGAGGTTAAGACATTATTATCCAAAGCTGTTTACATATTCAGCATTGGAAGTAATGACTACTATGTACCTTTCGCCACAAACTCGACTGTGCTTCAATCCTACTCCCAAGAAGAGGTTGTCAAGATGGTTATCGGCAACATAACAACAGTGATCCAAGTAATTAACATGTTATAAGAGCACACAAATTATTTCTTTGTTTCATTTTTCTCCCGAGGTCATTAAACTATGATTGCATCAATTTTGCTTTTTCAGGAAATATATAAGATTGGGGGAAGGAAATTTGGACTCTCAAAGTTGACACCATTGGGTTGTGATCCCGCCTTGAGAGCGCTAAAACTAGCTACCACAGGTGGCTCCGGCTGCATGGATGAAGCAAATATGCAAGCAAAACTACACAATATAGCTCTCCCCGAAGTTCTCAAAGAGCTTGAGAGCAACCTAAAAGGATTTAAATATTCAATTTTTGATTGTTACACTACAACAGATGAAAGACTCAATAAGCCTTCAAAATATGGTAAAGAGCTCCCTATTTTTTCTTATCCTGAACTGTTAGGATTATTTTATTCCAATTTTACTTTCTTTTCTTTTTCCCATTTAATTTGTGTGAAGGTTTCAAAGAGGTGAAGATGGCATGTTGTGGCAGTGGTCCGTACAGAGGCTCCTTCACTTGCGGCCTGAAAGGATACCAATTGTGCGATAACGTTAGCGAATATCTCTACTTCGATGCAGTTCATCCAACCGAGAAGGCCAACTATCAATTTGCAAAGCTAATGTGGAAGGGAAGTACTGAAGTTGTCAAACCTTACAACCTTAAAACACTATTTGAAATGTAGCTAAAAACTTGTCCAAATGATCCAGCTTGTACCAGACACAGTCAATAAATCTTCCATAATTCTGCACACCAATAAATATTCAAGCGGAACATCCTATCTGCTGATTTGTTTGAAATTATGACTAATGTTCTTTCTTCTCTGTTCTTTTATTTTCTTTTATTTTACTTGCAATCTAAACTAACTGATACAGGCCAAAGGCTTGCTTTCGAGGGTGTGTGGTGTGTGAGAGTGATGCAATGTATATCGAAATAAAGAATTAGAGATTTTCAAGTTCGAAGGTTACAACCCCTAAACGGTAAAAAAAACTTTGTTTCCATACTTTTTGAAATTCAATTATTCTTAAAACTGTTATAAAAATAAATACAAAATGTTTAAATAAAAAGAAATTACAAAATGTTTAAACATGTGATAAACCAACTTAGCTAATTAAAATCAAATCAAATCAAATTAAAATTCTAAAATTTAACTAGAAAAGAAATTCAAATATAATAAGTAAAATAAAGAATGATCTCAAACAACAAGTTTTTATTCCAATTTGATCACAATTCTATCCTCAGCTAATTATACTATAAAATAAACTAATAGTTAGATAAAAAATTGTGTTTGTTTTACTAAAACAACTCGTTTGACGCATTTAGAACTTTTCTTGAACTTGTTGATACTTGTCAAAGAAACCATATATGCATATAAAAATATGGTTGAGGTCTAGATTGGTTTCTTGGTTATAAAATAATTGAGTCTGACAAGGAGCATGCATATATATATATATATAAATAAATATAAAATTTGTGATTTGAAATCACACCTCTTCCCCTGGTATTATTAAACTAAAAAAACTCTGTGGTTAGGGTCAAAACCCAGAATTGAAATATAAAATTTGCAGTCTCTACCTATATCAGCTTATTTCATATCTGATCTGATAATAAATGGAAATCAGCATGTCCATATCAGATGGGTACATCTCAGCGTACAAAGTACAGTAAGGCTAATACTGGTGGATCAAACGGGTTTCGACTTTCAAAATTTTTCATCTGTGACTTGTTGTAATTTTAGCTTGCAACAAAATGTGAGTGCATCTTTCATGTGGGGGCGATTTTCTTATAATTGTTTAGAGAGAGACCATAGTCTAAAGACAGCAGTTACAACTTATTGTTGAATTTTGAGGACAACTGGAGTGAGATACTAGAGGCATTGTGTAGAAACATAAATTTTCTACCAATCAAATTTCACCATGTGTTATTTTATTCTTTAAAAGAAAGGATAAAATAAAATTGAAATAAATGACATGGAAAATAAATGAGCCTTCATATATTTCTTGGCCAATGAAAAGTTGACACTTGGGATAAGATATTCAAGTTATCTTGTCATAAATTCAAGATCCCATCATATATCTTTTCATAAATACAAGATCATGTTAATAAATATCAACCAATAAAATTATGCCATGTGGCATTGAAAAAGGACCTGAAAGCCCCTACATATCTCTATAAATAGAGGGCCTCAACCTAAAGGAAAAGGATTCCGGGGAGATACAAATTTGCTTCAAGACAAGCTCTTCAAGCAAGGAAGCTGTCTCTCTCTCTTCAAGCAAGGAAGCTCTCTCTCAAAGAGTTCTCAAGCCTCCTTCATCTACGGTTAAAGCCTACAAAGAACGAAGCTCTGTTGGATCAAGCCAAAACGCCCCATAAGAGTTTTTCAACAACACTTTGAAGACGAATCAAAGGTACTCTTCAAAGCATCAAATCATCAAATCTTGCTTCGCAATACACGCCCAAATTTGCGTTCTTGCAAAGCACGAATCTTGGCTTGATTACTCAAATGAATCAAGTCACCATACATCAAATCTAAGGGAAGAATCAGAGGATTGTCATATTCTTTTGAAAGAATATATTACATAGAGATTGTACCCATTCATATATTAATAAAATCATATATTTGTACACGTGTGCTTGTTTAATTTCAGGTGCTCAAAATTGTGTCTACAAATTTCTGGCGACTCCATTGGGGACATCTTTACCTCTCATCTCTTCCCTTCAAGAAAGAATTTTCAACAAACTCTCAATGGCAACTAGGAGGAACATTATCACCATTGTTGCTTCGAAAAGTAACAAGGCCACTGATTCAAGTCACCAACATACTATTGAAGATTCTTCAACACCGCCACTGAAAACAAAATCCATCGTCGAATTGTATGAACAAACTAAGCCGACTCTCAAGTTGACATCAACTTCGAATGCAAGAGGGGCACCAGATCTCGCCTCGAAAATAAAGCCACAAGCAACTCCACTACAAGAGTCTAGTGGGGCGCGCGAAATTCTTTTCGGCACTCAAGGCGACTTCGACAATTCACCTATGGAAACTTCTCCGTGTCAATCACCAAGTAAGGCTTCGGGTTTTGGCACCATGTCAGTAATGATGACCGAGACAACATCTTTAGAGGATCAAGTGGCTAACTTGACAAAACTCGTCGAGGGGTTTTCGACTTCATTCAAGGCGAAAGACCACGAGATAGCAAAGTTGATGAACAAACTTGAGATCTTGAATGAAGGAGGCCAAACCTCGACTACCAAGGCTTTTCAAGCAAATCAACTAGATGTCATTGAGGAGTCTGCAACTGGAGCTGCGAAGAATGTACGCAATATTACTGATGGCATATTCACCACAAATCAACTAAAAGAACTCATCAAGGAAGCCATCACAGACCAAGTGGAAAGTTCAATTCAACCCTCGTATTCATATGCGAAGCCGTACACCCAAAGAATCGACATATTAAAGATGCCACTAAGTTACCAACCACCAAAGTTTCAACAATTCGATGGCAAGGGAAATCCTCGGCAACACGTAGCTCACTTTATGGAGACTTGCAACAATGCCGGAACTAATGGTGATCTCATGGTAAAACAGTTTGTTCGTTCCTTAAAAGGTAATGCCTTTGACTGGTACACTGACTTGGAGTCTGGCTTGATTGATACTTGGGAGCAGTTAGAGCGCGAGTTTCTTAACCGCTTTTATAGCACTCGTCGCGTGGTTAGCATGATTGAACTCACTAATGCACGTTAATGGAAGGAAGAGCCTGTCATCGACTACATTCATCGGTGGAGAAACCTTAGCCTCAACTGTAGAGATCGGCTCACCGAAACTTCTGCGCTAGACATGTGTATTCAAGGGATGCATTGGGGACTACGCTATATTCTACAAGGCATCAAACCAAAGTCTTTTGAAGAATTGGCTACTCGTGCACACGATATGGAACTTAGCATTACGGCGGCTGAAAGTTCATTATTACCTATGCAAGAGCCTAAAAGAAATAAGCCTGAAGGTCGTAGATTTGGAAAGAGCACTCTAAAAGTTGAGGGAAAGCAATCTTTAGTAGTTAACTCAGCTATTGTAAGGGTACCAACTGGATTTAAGAGGAATGATCATGCAACGCCGACTACTTTTCAAAAGGGTGAAAGAAAGAAACCATCCTTGAAAGAGCGACAAGAAAAAGTGTATCCATTCCTGACTCAGACATATCTAGGATGTTGGATGATCTGCTTGAGGCAAATATCATTGAGTTGCCAGAAGTGAAACGCCTTGAAGAAGCAAACCAAGTAGATAATCCGAATTATTGCAAATATCATTACTTAATCAGTCATCCTGTAGAGAAGTGTTTTGTGTTGAAAGACAAGATCATGAGGCTACACGAGAATGGAGATATTGTCTTTGATGATGAAATAACAGCCTCTAATATCATAACCACGGTCAATTTAGGACCATGTCAATCACTCCCTACAATAAGTTTCGGCTCCTTTGAACCTATAAGACTTGATGCCATTTTCCCGATGAGCTTCGCTACATCCTTAAGTCTAACTCCATGCATAACCCTCGCACCTCAAGTTGACAACTTGAAGCCTAATTCATTTGAAAATTATGATGATGAAGGATGGACTTTAGTCACGCGTAAAAGAGGAAGAAAGAAGCACATGCAGATGACAAAGCCAACTAGAATAAGAATGTCAATGGTGAGGAAGCTAATTGATGAGCCGATACGTCGAAAGACTGAACGAAAGTCCACGCCAGCTAGAAAGGAGAGTTTTTCAATGCAAAGTCTAAGAAAACCCGTTACACTGAATGAGCACATGCCAATAAAGATGAGAAGAGTTGAAAATGTACTTGTTACTTGCTATCAGGTTGATGAAGAGAAAAATCTTATTGAACCTGTCATGAAGGAAGGTTATGATGACTCTTCAAATTTATGTCATGGTGTATGCACAATAGAGATATCCTTCAGCGATGAAGACTTGTTGCTTGGATCAAAACTCCATAACCGACCTCTTTTCATGAAAGGATATGTTGATGAAAAGATGGTGAATCGTATCTTGGTGGATGATGGCTCAGCGGTCAATATATTACCTCTTAAGACTATGAAAGAGCTAGGGATTCCTATGGATGAACTTTTCCCAAGTCATCTGATGATTCAAGGTTTTAATCAAGGTGGACAAAACGCCATTGGAAAGATAAGACTCGCAATGCACATGGAAGATATGGAATCCAATGCACTTTTCCATGTCATAGATGCCAAAACTACTTACAATATGTTGCTTGGGCGACCATGGATGCATGAAAATGGTATCATCTCCTCAACACTCCACCAATGTTTTAAGTATTGTCGAGATGGACAAATAAGAAAGATAGTGGCGGACACCGACCCCTTCACCATAGCTGAAGCTCACTTTGCAGACGCAAAATTCTATTTCAAGTCAAATGTGATTGAAGAGCTACGATCCCCACCTGACCATCTAGGAGAGGGAAGAATTGACTCCAAAAGCTCAAAAGGGCATAAGTCATCTGCAAATGAAAGGGTGTCTCAGCCGATAAGGAATCAAGGAAAAGAAAAGGTGGTAGAAAACTTTGTTAACAATAAACTACCACGTAAAGCTACAATACTCCGATATATCCCAGTATCAGCAAGAAAAGAGGGTCAATCTTCTTTTGCCAAGGATGAAGAGAAGATCAATAAGGGGCTTGAAAACTTAACCTTGCTAGCTACTAATCTCGCCTTGAATAAGGTCTCAAAACCTTTATTAAAAGGGTTCGTTCATCAAACCGAGTTGGTGGTGATAAATCCTAGAGGACTCCCTGATAAACGGGCGAATGACTTTGATCCCAATGCTTATAAGCTTTTAGCCAAGGCTGGTTATAGTCATGAGGACATCAATAAGTTAGCGAAGGATGGTGATACTACTCAACTTGAAGGTAAACAAGTTTCTACAAAGACTAAAAAGGCATGGAGAGAGAAGAAAACTTACGGAAAAACTTTAAGGGCTGGTCTTGGATACGAGTCTTCCATATCGCTACATTTTCATATTAATAAAGAAGCCTCACAATACATAAGTGTGGAAGAAGTGAAGGACAAACAACAAAATCAGTTGGCACCTCTTAGAGCTTCAGTCTGGGATCGTCTTGGTGGAACTACAAGTTGTGCTCCTGTTTTTGCCAGGATTGGAACCCAAAATAATGGAAAGGCGCTAAAACGCACATCAGTCTTTGCAAGACTTGAACAATCCATGTCAAAAGATAACAAGCATACACTCGATCATCAATCAAGTTCGATGAGTGATTTAAAGGTTCTTCGTAGCAAAATACCTTCACGCATGAAGAGACAATGTGAATAGGTGGTGAGTGCTGAGGAGACATTGAAAGGGAAAACATGCACAATAGTGATGACAAACCCCTATAATGAAGAAAAGGAAGATGAAATAATGTGTCTCACTTCAAATCACATCACTATTGAAGAAGATGATAATGATAAGTTTGTCGTCGAAGAAGATGTTGAGGAAGCTCTGCCTTCCCTTGAATCAGAAAATAAGCCTACAATGGATGAACTTAAAGAGGTTAACTTGGGAACTGTTGAAAACCCACGACCAACCTTTATCAATGCAAATTTATCACCTGAAGAGGAAGCAAATTACATGGAACTTTTGATGGAGTATCGAGATGTCTTTGCTTGGTCCTATGATGAAATGCCTGGTTTAGACCCAAGGGTTGTTGTCCACCAACTAGCAGTAAAACATGGGGCTAGACCTGTAAAACAAACTCAGTGTCGCTTCCGTCCTGAACTCATATCACAGATTGAGGTTGAAGTCAATAAACTTATCCAGGCAGGTTTCATTCGTGAGGTTAAGTATCCTACATGGATTTCAAATATTGTGCCAGTAAAAAAGAAGAATGGCCAAATGCGAGTTTGCGTGGATTTTCGAGACCTTAACAATGCTTGTCCCAAAGATGACTTTCCACTTCCAATTACCGAGATCATGGTCGACGCTACCACAGGTCATGGGAGATTAACCTTTATGGATGGTTCATCTGGCTATAATCAAATTCGAATGGCACCCACAGATGAGGAGAAGACGACCTTCCGAACTCCGAAAGGGATATATTGCTATAAAGTTATGCCTTTTGGCTTAAAGAATGCAGGTGCCACTTATCAAAGGGCGATGCAGAAGATTTTTGATGATATGCTTCACCAACATGTTGAATGCTATGTTGACGACCTCGTGGTGAAATCAAAAGAAAAAGAAAATCATTTGCAAGATCTTCGTTTGGTATTTGAACAATTACGTCGATTCCAGCTAAAAATGAACCCACTAAAATGCGCATTTGGTGTGTCATAACCCAATTCTGGGTTATTCCTCAATTTTGATCCATATTTTGATAACTTTTTAGAAAAAAATCCAAAAAATAGAGAAAAACAATGAAAATCCAAAAAATACATTTTTAAACATATTTGCATAATTTTTAGCATTTTCAACATCATCTTAGAAGAATTTAATTTTTCAAAGATATTTGGAACGCGTTCAAATTTTAACGCGTTATTTTTAAAATCATTGATTTTTCTCATTGAGTTGATGTTGATATTGCTTGTTTTTGAAAAAATATAAAAAAATAAAAATTTATAAAAAAATAAAATTGAGGGACTAATTTTGAAATCCAAGCAATATTTTGCCTATAAATAGCAACCTTTAACACAAAGAAAGGGGGGGTAATTTTGACAAAACAAAGGAGAAAAGAAACCCTAAAACACAAAAAACCCTAATATTTTTCTCTAGAGCCGCCGCCCCCCTCACCCCCCTCAAACCTGTCAGCTTCGCCGGACGATTTCTCACTCGTCTACCGTTGGATCGACGTGAAATTTGAGTATGTTGTGCGTCCCTATGTTTACTACAAACTGACCGGAGCGATCATTCATCTTTGAAACCACAAGAGAAATATTACCATTTGAATATTTCTGGACAAACCCCTCTCGGAACAGTTAGAGCCGCCGGCCTATTTATCCATTATTCACCGTTGGATCAACCTGAGTTTTGGATATGTGATGCGTATGGGTGTATTGCACATTCTGAACGGTGGAGATGAGATAGAACCCATCCAAAAAGGTGTTATGCGTGTTTAACAGTGGCTCGCCAGTCTCAGGTCAGTTTCGGTCTAACTCCGATCGTGGGAGATCCAACCGTTAACTCCAGCTGATATTTGGGTATATGCTGCCTGAGATATCGTTTTATCATTTCACCGTTGGGATTTGTTATTGTTTCAATGGTTGTTGAGTAATGGTCGTCGGAAAATTTGCCCAGAATCTGTCATGGCTGCCGATTTGGAAACCCAAATCACAACACCCACCGCCGGCGCCGGAAGACAGAGAAGAGGAAGACGGCCGATCTACTGGTTCTGCCACCTCCGGCAGCGGCGGCGCGTGGAGGAAACGGTTGGAGTTTGATGCAATTTTTGGAGTTTTAGGGACTGTTTTGTAAATTTTAAATTATTTAATGTAATTTTTATTTAGCTTTGGATTTTTATAATTTGTAATGTGGATGTAAAAAAAAAAAGGAAAAGAAAAGAAAAAAAGAAAAAGAAAAAGAATAAAAAAATGCATGTGTGTGTGTGTTTGTATTTGTCTCATGAATGTTTTCTTTTTATTTATGATAAAATTGCAGAGAATAAAGAAGAATTTAATATTTTGATTGGATCGCGGTGTAGAAGTACAAACTTGTATGGAAGTTGTATTTCTAAAATCCGATGAAAAGATAAAATTTTTAAAACTTCTTTAACACATCAAGTCCATGAAGCAGCTTACCTCAGGTAGGGCGTGTTAGGGGTGCTAAGACCTTCCCTAACCACAACCGGTCCCTTACCTGCGAATCTCTGACAAGACCAGTACAACCGGGTTTCCTAGTAACCTTCAATTAAATACTAGGTGGTGACTCCTAACGAATCCAACAAGATCAAATCAAATAATAATGATGAAAAATCATCAGAGCCGACGCCGCGTGGATTTTTTTTGACGTGCGACATGGTGTGTCAAGTGTCTCAGCTGATGAGGAATCAAGGAAAAGAAAAGATGGTAGAAAACTTTGTTAACAATAAACTACCACGTAAAGCCATAGTACTCCGATATATCCCAGTATCAGCAAGAAAAGAGGGTCAATCTTCTTTTGCCAAGGATGAAGAGAAGATCAATAAGGGGCTTGAAAACTTGACCTTGCCAGCTACTAATCTTGCCTTGAACAAGGTCTCAAAACCTTTATTAAAAGGGTTCGTTCATCAAACCGAGTTGGTGGTGATAAATCCTAGAGGACTCCCTAATAAACAGGCGAATGGCTTTGATCCCAATGCTTATAAGCTTTTAGCTAAGGCTGGTTATAGTCGTGAGGACATCAATAAGTTAGCGAAGGATGGTGATACTACTCAACTTGAAGGTAAACAAGTTTCTACAAAGACTAGAAAGGCATGGAGAGAGAAGAAAACTTACGGCAAAACTTTAAGGGCTGGTCTTGGATACGAGTCTTCCACACCGCTACATTTTCAGATTAATAAAGAAGCCTCACAATACATAAGTGTGGAAGAAGTGAAGGACAAACAACAAAATCAGTTGGCACCTCTTAGAGCTTCAATCTAGGATCGTCTTGGTGGAACTACAAGTCGTGCTCCTGTTTTTGCCAGGATTGGAACCCAAAATAATGGAAAGGCGCTAAAACGCACATCAGTCTTTGCAAGACTTGGACAATCCATGTCAAAAGATAACAAGCATACACTCGATCATCAATCAAGTTCGATGAGTGATTTAAAGGTTCTTCGTAGCAAAATACCTTCACGCATGAAGAGACATTGTGAATGGGTGGTGAGTGCTGAGGAGACATTGAAAGGAAAAGCACGCACAATAGTGATGACAAACCCCTATAATGAAGAAAAGGAAGATGAAATAATGTGTCTCACTTCAAATCACATCACTATTGAAGAAGATGATAATGATAAGTTTGTCATCGAAGAAGATGTTGAGGAAGCTCTACCTTCCCTTGAATCAGAAAATAAGCCTACAATGGATGAACTTAAAGAGGTTAACTTGGGAACTGTTGAAAACCCACGACCAACCTTTATCGATGCAAATTTATCACCTGAAGAGGAAGCAAATTACATGGAACTTTTGATGGAGTATCGAGATGTCTTTGCTTGGTCTTATGATGAAATGCCAGGTTTAGACCCAAGGGTTGTAGTCCACCAACTAGCAGTAAAACATGGGGCTAGACCTGTAAAACAAACTCAGCGTCGCTTCCGTCCTGAACTCATATCACAGATTGAGGTTGAAGTCAATAAACTTATCCAGACAGGTTTCATTCGTGAGGTCAAGTATCCTACATGGATTTCAAATATTGTGCCAGTAAAAAAGAAGAATGGCCAAATGCGTGTTTGCGTGGATTTTCGAGACCTTAACAATGCTTGTCCCAAAGATGACTTTCCACTTCCAATTACCGAGATCATGGTCGATGCTACCACAGGTCATGGGAGATTAACCTTCATGGACGGTTCATCTGGCTATAATCAAATTCGAATGGCACCCGCAGATGAGGAGAAGATGGCCTTCCGAACTCCGAAAGGGATATATTGCTATAAAGTTATGCCTTTTGGCTTAAAGAATGCAGGTGCCACTTATCAAAGGGCGATGCAGAACATTTTTGATGATATGCTTCACCAACATGTTGAATGCTATGTTGACGACCTCGTGGTGAAATCAAAAGAAAAAGAAAATCATTTGCAAGATCTTCGTTTGGTATTTGAACGATTACGTCGATTCCAGCTAAAAATGAACCCACTAAAATGCGCATTTGGTGTGTCATCAGGCAAATTCCTAGGGTTTATAGTTCGACATCAAGGGATTGAGATTGACCAGTCTAAGATTGAAGCCATTCTAAAAATGCCGGAGCCAAGAAACATCCATGAGTTGAAGAGTCTCCAAGGAAAGTTGGCCTATATACGGAGATTTATTTCTAACTTAGCGGGTCGATGTCAACCATTCACCCACTTAATGAAGAAGGATACGTCATTCTATTAGGATGAAGCTTGTACTAATGCCTTCAACAAGATAAAAAAATACTTGTTGAATCCGCCTGTCCTTCAAGCACCGGTACCGAGACGCCCACTTATCCTCTATATTGCACCTCAAATACATTCCTTAGGGGTGTTGTTGGTGCAACAAAATGATGAAGGCAAGGAAAGTGCTCTCTACTACCTTAGTAGGACATTAAATGGGGCTGAACTGAACTATTCTCCAATAGAGAAGACATGTCTAGCATTAATGTTTGCAATAAAGAAGCTAAGGCATTACCTCCAAGCGCATTCAGTAAGACTAATCTCCCGAGCTGACTGACACGACTAAAAGGTTGATGTCTTCTCCCAAGTGCAGGAGTGTCGAAGTAATAAATAACCCGGCAAGACCGGGGTCGAACCACAGGGAGGTTAATTGTACAAATTATAAACAACAATTATAAAATAACAATAACAACAACAGTAATAATAATAATAATAATAATAATAATAGTATTAATAGTAGTAGTAATAATAATAATAATAATAATAATAATAATAATAATAAAGAAAGAGAAGAAGAAGAAGATGATGATGATGAGAACTTAGAGATGAAATATTAATGTAAGGATTAAACAATAATAATAACAAATGTCAAGGTTAGAGATTCCACTAATGGTATATCAAACAAGTATAGTATAAACTCTTATTATTGAATTGGAAACCACACACAAAGGAGGTTCCAATCAGATTATATATTGTTAACATGATTACATTAGTCATCTTATTCAATTAATGCTAATACTTGTAAATCTCGTCAAGCATTCATGATTATAACTTATGTTAACAACAAATCAAGTTCCTTTCATAGCTCAGGTGTCGGTTATACCATACAGTATGAGCTATGAGAGTGCCAAGCATTTGTTGTACCAAGTGTTATACAACATAAATCAAGATTAATCATTTAACAAGCAAAGTATTAAAGAGTGAACAAGATAACAAATATAAAACATGTTAGTATCAAACATTAAAGTCCATATTAAGTTTACATTATACTTATTCTTACACCATTAGTGTAACCTTTTCACCTTGACATAACTAACTTAGCTAGACATAATGAAAGAAAGCAAAATAGATAAACAAAATAAGAACATAAAAGTTAACTAAGTAAAGGAAAGGAAATGAAAGGCATAAACTTAATATTAATGAAAGCAAAGCATAAACATTACAAAAAATACAAAGAGAGAAAGGAAGAGCATGATCTTGATCTGGAAACCAAGATGCCTAAATGCATGGCAAATGCCTCCTTTTATAGGCCAAAATTGGGAACTATTGATTTGATGACTAATTGATAAGTGGGTGGCCAACTTTTGACTTGGTGACAATCCTTATCTTCTCTTGTCTGCCCAAAACGTCATTGATAACGTCAAAATTGGAGCCAGGTCCAAACATGAAAGTTGTAGGCAATTGTCTCAGCTTTCTTGTGTAAAACATTCAGCTCATTTGGACTTCTAGAACTCCAGATATGGCCAAAATACCGAACAGTGCTCGGGCTGGAAGACAGATTCGGGCTTCTTTGTTGTTGCTACAATTTGGACTTGATAATGGCCTTTTTAGATCTTGGGCTCCATATGAAAGTTGTAGGCCTATGTCTTACCTTTCCATCCATATAAATTGGACCTAAATCTGAGATCTGTAGCTCCAGATATGACCCAATTACCGAACAATGTTCCGGTTTGGATTGCACCGACATCTCTTTTCTAAGTTTGGCCATCTCTTTATCCTTGCAATTTAAGTTCTTAAAGTCATCAATCAATCCTTTCATTTATGTGATAGGCCTGCATTAAAAATAGACATTTACCACAAATTAAAGGTATCTTATATTATTAGATATATTATTATAAAACATGCTTTAGTTAAGGAGTTATTGATACTTCAAGTGCAAAATGATGATATAAAACCATGACAAAAATGCACTTTTAAGTACTAATCACTGACCCTCTCAAGTACATCATCTTAAGACCAGTACTATTAGGAAGATTGGTAAAATGGGCTTTATTACTTCAAGAATTTGAAATTGTTTACGTCTCACAAAAGGTTATCAAGGGGCAAGCACTAGCTGATTTTCTCGCTGATTATCCTATTCCTGATGAATGGAAGTTCTCTGAAGACCTGCCTGATGAGGACGTTTTGTTTATTGAAATGTCAGAACCATGGAAAATGTTCTTTGATGGCGCAGCACGACAAGATGAAGCCGGGGCTGGGGTTATATTCATCACACCGGAAGGAGAGGTCTTGCCTTTCTCCTTTTCACTTACCGAATGTTGTTCTAATAACATGGCCGAATATCAAGCCTTGATTCTTGGGTTGGAAATGGCAGTGAATATAAAGATGTATCGCCTTAAAGTTTTTGGGGATTCTCAATTAGTCATCAGACAACTCCTCTCACTATATGAAGTCAAAAAGCCAGAGTTCATCCCATATCACAAGTATGCACTTAAACTGATAACATCACTTGATTGTGTCACTTTAGAACATGTGCCATGAAAAGAGAATAAGCAAGTCGATGCCTTAGCAAATCTTGCGTCAATATTAGCATCATGTAGTGAGGAGATAAAAGTCCCTGTATGTCAAAGATGGGTCGTTCCACCGCTAAATCATGACATAGAAGAGAAAGAACAAGTGGGTATAGTTTCTGTATACGAGATTGAAAGAGAAGACTGGTGTCAGCCACTTATCGATTATTTGAGACATGGAAAGCTACCTAAAGACCTACGTCATAAGACAGAGGTGAGGCGAAGAGCTTCTCGCTTCATATACTTTCAAGGCACTCTTTACCGACGTTCTTTTGACGGAGTCTTTTTGCGTTGTCTCGGAGAAGAAGAAGCAACAAAAGCACTAGAGGAAACTCACTCAGGGATCTGTGGAGCACACCAATCACGCCCTAAACTTCACTTCCGGATCAAAAGAATGGGATATAAATGGCCGACAATGGTAAAGGATTGCATAGACTATGCTAGAAAATGTCAAAGTTGTCAATTGCATGCTAATTTGATCCATCAGCCACCCGAGCCTTTACACCCGATAGTTGCCTCTTGGCCCTTTGATGCTTGGGGACTTGATGTGGTAGGACCATTACTGAAAAGCTCTGGGGGGCATCTTTACATATTGGCTGCAACAGATTACTTCTCAAAGTGGGCAGAAGCTGCAGCATTAAAAGAGGTCAAGAAAGAGACAGTTGTAAACTTCATTCGAACAAACATCATTTACTGTTATGGGGTACCAAGATACATCATAACTGATAATGGAAAGGAGTTATACAATACAGCCATGAACAAGTTGTGTGCACAATTCAGCTTCAAACAGCATAACTCTTCTATGTACAATGCTCCGGCTAATGGTTTGACAGAAGCCTTTAACAAGACTTTATGCAACATTCTCAAGAAGGTGGTGAATCGCTCGAAGAAGGACTGGCATGAGAGAATTGGGGAGGCGTTATGGGCTTATCGTACTACATTCCGAACACCAACTCAAGCTACTCCATATTCCTTGGTATACGGGGTCGAAGCTGTTCTTCCACTAGAATGTCAAATTCCATCTTTGAGAATCGCAATCCAAGAAGGACTTTCCAATGAAGACAATGTTCGTATACGCCTTGAAGAGCTTAAAGCTTTAGATGAAAAACATCTTGAGGCACAACAACGATTAGAATGTTATCAAGCATGACTTTATAGGGCTTTCAACAAGAAGGTGCGACCACGCTCATTCCAAGAAGGAGATCTTGTCTTGGCAGTACGACGCCCAATAATCATGTCAAAACGCATGGGCAACAAATTCCTCTCCAAATGGGATGGCCCTTATGTGGTTCAAGAAGTCTACACCAATGGAGCTTACAAAATTATCGCTGAGAATGGATTGAAGATTGGGCCTATCAATGGCAAATTCTTGAAAAGATACTATACTTGAAATCTGATGTAGCTCCTGGCCCGCACGAGCTAAAACTGTGAAAGGCACAAAAAAAAAATTGAACTACATTATGACTTGATCCTTTATCCACAAAGGTACGTAGGCAACTCAGAATCCATTCTGGGTACAGTCACAAAAAAAGGTCTTTGATAAAAAAAAACAAAAAAAAATGTTTTGAACTACGTTGTGACTTGATCCTTTATCCATAAAGGTACGTAGGCAACTTAGAATTTATTCTAAGTATAGTCGCACATCATCCTTTAAAAGCTATTTGAGCCAATATGATTGTTCACATGAAAAAAAGAGGGATAAATAAACCTCAAAACACAATCATAACATGAAAATCCAGGTAACAAGACACAAGTGAAGGTAAAATATAGACTTTATTAATAGAAAGAAGAATTCTATTACATAAAGTATGTAGCCTCAACAGAAAGTCACAAGCTGGTGTTACCAAAACAAAAAAATTCCAAAGCATAAGAAACCATTATCATACTACGATTTCCAGCTATGTCCTGCTAACTCCTTTTGTTTGGTCTCCAACAATCCTTTCAATTTTTGAAGAATGGTTGCATCAGTTTCACTTATCACAGGGGAAGAGGATAGTGTGGTGATCTCTGCTCGAATGCTGGAGGTAATGATTTTCCTCTCAAAAAGTTTTTCATCACACGCCTTAAGAGATGACTCTAACTCAGTCTTCTTACTCTGCAACTCCATTAATTGTTTCGCTATTTTTGTTATCTCAGCATGAGTGGTGGAAATAGATTTAGATGCCTCGTCTTCAAAAGCTTTTGAATCTTTAAGTTGCACTTCAAGCTTTTCAACATCTAAGGCTCGTTGCTCTGATGTCATCATAGGAGATAATGAAGCCTTTAAGTGGATAAACTTTTTAGCATCCTCAATCACCTCAGTCACCATTCTTCTTATAGAGGAGCAATCAACCTTTATATCTTCAATGGAGTGGAGGATCTTCTCAACTTCACCAGCTAGGTTAGGAATATAATGGATCGGTGTACGAACAATCTTATTTCTGATGCTCTCCCAACACTTGATAGCAAATTCAGATCTTATCTCTCTTATTATGTCATCAACACAATACCTAGTAACTCCTGAAGGCTCAAAGGCAGTAGTAGGTCCAAGATTATGCAAGTTGGCCACTATATTAAAGATCGGCGGAGGTGGATTAGGCTGCTCATGTGGTGAACTAAATGAAGGATGAGAGTTTCCAATCCCAGCAGCTAAAATATTGAAAGGGTTAGGGCTAGCAACAGAAGCAACACTCATTTCTGGCCCAATATACATATCAAAGTCATTCCCAGGTCTTGTTGACCAAGCTGAAACAAAGAACAAAAAAAGAGGGGGGGTTAATATATGACAAGTAACATGAATTAGAAAAAAAAAAGAAAAAAAAAGTGTCAAACCAGTTCATCAATATTGTCTGGCATGATTGATGCACTAGGGACTCCATGAAGAAAACCCGAGCCGCAAGGATTGAACACTTTCTTGGTACGTTTTAAACGTTTCCAATGATGATCACTGTTTTCATGCTCACTGTCCTTAACATTTAAGATTGCTTCAAAATTGTCTTCTTTTTCCTGCTACATGCATATCCTTATGAGTATCTCAATAAAAAAAAAAGGGAATTAATAAGGCACATAAAAATAGGGATAAGTATTTATTTACCAATTGTGGAGAAAAGGATTGTGCACTTCTTTCCTTTGCTTCTAAGGAGTTAGAGGATTTCTTATTAAGATGATCTTTTGAAGTACTCACTCTCTTCACACTAGGAATCACAAGTGGTGTCCTCCTTATGTGGGCAGATGTTTGAGTACCATCTTCCTTGCCTAAATCAACATCAACTGTCCGCTTATCTCTTTTATGGGTAGGAGAAGATCGTTTCTTTTTGGTTAAGAGAGGGTCATTCTTCTTTTCTTTTGTCCTTCGAGATACTATGGCAACATTACTAGGACTTTTGAGAATGATCTTTACCTCTGGAGAACAAACTTTGGACCACTTCGGAGTCCACCACTCCATATAACGTTTAGTCACCAAAGGAAGCTTATCACTTGGGGGCAACGAAAGCTTGTACTGAGAATGTGTTGAGTTTGGTAAAACTATGCCAAAGTTGGGATACATCCTCCAAGGTTGGAACTCCAGTTCTCCCTTCAAAGTCACGGGGAACATGTTGGCAAAACCTAAATTGTCAACTGAATCTATCAGGACAATAAGACTCAATAATAAAAGTATCATCATAACGAAGAGTCAAATAGCCAGATCGAATACACATAAAGTAGTCACTCTTGAGGATTGATAAGTTGCCATCATCACACAAAACCACGACTTTGGCCAAGGGAAGTAATGCAGGAAATATGACTCTCTCAGGATCTCTGAAAAGAGCATTAGCTTGAGATTCATTGAAATGTTTTCCCAACCCCACGCTGGCATATTTTGTCATCCCAACTAACTTGGCAGGACTAATGGCTGTTTGATGGGTGCCAAATTTTTCGGCAAGCCAACTGCTGAGAAAATGAATAGGAAAAGGGATGTCTCGTGCGATCACACTTAATGCAGATTGAACTTCCTTTAGACCTTTGAAGATACTTGCTAGAACTGGTATTGCAAGAGAGAATTGCCTTCCAACCGCCATCATGGATGCTACTTTGAAAGTACTAGGACGAATGAAACCAACGTCCTTGCTAGGAAATACAAATTTGCATAGCCACCATGAAAGAAAAGCCGCTAAATAAACTTCATCTTGAATATGAGAAGGGACATTAAGCTCTTTAAAAGGATGAATGAATTTGCTGGAATGAACGCGAGACTTATCAATTGAGCCAGATGGATAGGTAGTCTTATTGGATCCGCTAGACTTACCCACAGAAAAGGGTACCTTGTATCTCAAATCATCTCGAAACCAGAAATCTACCCAATCTTGAAGGGTCATTACATGGTCACCATCAATGGTCTGACATTCTTTATGAAAGGCGATAAATAGGTACTTGCAGCTCTTTGGAAGAAAAGAATATCCTTTCTTGTCAGCTTCATTAAGTTCATCAGCAGAAGGAATGACTTCATCATAAAAAGTACCAAAAATAGGAAGACCGCTACATGATTTTAACTCCCAAAGGGATATAGACTCCTCTCCATTCGGGGTAGATAACGTGTTGGTAGCAGGATTCCAATGATTATAGAAAGAAAGGATAACATTCATCTGCCAGTCATATGTAAAAAGGGATGCAAAAATAGTGTCTCGAATATGTGCCCTCTCGAGGATTGGCTCGTAATGTTTCAAAATATCTTCTGTCCATTCCCAATACTTGGGAGTATACTCAAGTGCATCAGAGATTGGGAAATAATCCTTGCAAGTAGCATTTCCATCACGTTTACGATAGTCTAATGACAGTAGATCAGCTAGAAAAGTTGTTGAATGTGGAAAGGAGGATTGAAGTTGTAAAACTGATTGAGGCAAACCACCATGACCATAAAGTTCATAAGAAGTCTCTAATGACCAGGAAGTCAAATGCTTGATGCTTTTGGAAGACCGCTTCTTAGCAAATGAACCAATGGCAGGTTCATATACGCGTTCGACGATACTTCTCATCAATTACTAAGAATCTTTTTGTGGAAGAAGAAGAATTCTTGAAAAGCACCATCTAAAAAGAAAAGGTAGACATAAAAATACGTGAATTAGATGCATATTGAAAGAAGAAATGGGGAACAAGATTATAAATCTCATGATATTTATATGTCCTAAAAAAAAAGGTAATGATAAAAAAGGGAGAGAATAAGAACTTACCTCGATCAAGAATGAAAGAAAAGTGATGCTCCAATGTTAAAAAAAGAAAAAGACTTGCCAAAATTGATGACGCGTTAAAAAAAAGAAGCAACCGTGACCCTTAAGGAACAACTCGTCAAGCACCAAGGCTTGTGAAGTATTATGGCAAGAGAATTCAGATCACCCAAAGAAGCCTGCAGCCCTGCAATAAGAATAGATGTTAATTAATGGAAACAGGCAGGCTCACCAACAACTCAATCAGGCTTAGTCAAGTCTATTTCAATAACAAGTTTGCGTCATCGATCATACAGTCGCAGAAGCAGAAAAGGTTGCTCTTGGTTAACACACAGATGTCAACAATATGTTTTTCCTCAACAAGAAAGCTGCTACAACTCCTCCAAATATATTTTTGGCCTCTATATTTTCTCTTCCAGTACAAGCTCTCTCTTTGGATGTGCTATCAAGAAACTTTGCAGTGCTCCAAGGCTTTGAAAGGAGTTCTTTCATCTAGATAACAACAGTCGTGAAACAACTTTTCCATAGCCTGCTAAGGTGAAGTTAAAAAAAATAAAATAAAATTTGTTGTTGTTGCTGCGGCATCCAGAGCTCATCGTTACTGTCAACACAAAGAAAATGGTTGCCTTCTAGTCGCTAAGCAGTCACCATCTCTGCATCTCCATGCAATTCGACCATGGCAGAGAGAATAACACATGGCCAAATGTAGTTTCACTATGTCACTATATAATTCAACGAATAGAGGACTGCGGATTGTCAAGTTTTCCACGTCACATCTTAAGACTATGCAAATTGCTGGAAATATTTCGTTAAGTAGTCGCTCCCTTTTGCTTTATTCTAGGCCATGCATAATTTCACTTTTCTCCATACGGTCAAAAAAATAGAAAGACGATGCAAGTGCATTTATAAAAGAGAGGAATTTAAATTACTATCATCATGAGCTTTGGTTAGAAGTTTAAAGCTTATTGCACCTGCACAAACTCAGAATTGTGTCCTACATACATATAAAAAAAAAAAAGGACTTGCAGTTGTAAAACAAACACTGAAGAGCTATGCATACCTGCTAAGACTGTCGGTGATCTGGAACTTCCAGGTGGATGCTACACAGTTAATGAAGGAACAGAAGGACTGCTAAGTTGGTGACAAAAAAAAAAAAAAGACAATGTAGTGGCCTTTTATAGCCACACTATAGACCGTTGCCTGATTACAAAAGAAGAAGAAAAAAACTCGTATTTTGTGATAGAAAGGTCGGCTATGCAAGTTGCTTTTCCTCTTCTGAAACAAGAGCAATAATTTTCCTGTTCAGTTCTGCAAAATTTTCCTATTCAAGTCATAGCAAAAAAAAAAAAAACGATAATTCCTATTCAGTTCTGCACTCTTCATTTACCCTTCCTTGGCAGTTCATTCAGGAAACAAAGGATGCGACATGCTACCCAAGACAAATTTTTCCTATGCTGTTGAAAAGGCAAATTATCTTTCCTAACTTGAAAAGCATCTGATTAGTCTTTGCTCTCAATTGGTTAAGAATACAAGGAATTATAAAGTAAAGAGCATTTAAACGGGAATGAAGCAAATATTTCATCAAAGAGTGCGCGCATATCAAGATAAGAAAGAGAATATGAATCAACATCTTTAATATGTGATGATTCATTAACCACTACTCGGAATCACAAACGGATTGCATCATTGGATTCATAACAATGAAATCTTCAAAACAAGATGTTATAGTGACCACTTCCCCGATAAAAAAAAATTCTGCAGGCCAGTCAAAGTGTTGGTTGCTATTCGGTATAAAGATACATTTTGTTTCGTCCTCAAATACGCAACTGTTTCAAATGAGGTATTGAACTGAGATATTCCATCATTTGATTTGATAAATATTCCATCATTTGATTTGATAAATTTCAATCAAGATTGGTTCATAAATTTCCAATTTTAATTATCATATTTTATTTCACAATAAAATTTATTTATTTATTGTGAAAATCTAATACGATCAAATCAAATTCTAGTCGAAAATATAAAACTCTCTCAACCATATTTTTCGAGACATGCCCATTTATTTCTAAAGTAAGTGAACTTGTCTCGAGGGGGCATATGTAGAAACATAAATTTTCTACCAATCAAATTTCACCATGTGTTATTTTATTTTTTAAAAGAAAGGATAAAATAAAATTGAAATAAATGACATGGAAAATAAATGAGCCTTCATATATTTCTTGGCCAATGAAAAGTTGACACTTGAGATAAGATATTCAAGATATCTTGTCATAAATTCAAGATCCCATCATATATCTTTTCATAAATACAAGATTATGTCAATAAATATCAACCAATAAAATTATGCCATGTGGCATTGAAAAAAGACCTGAGAGGGCCTCAACCTAAAAGAAAAGGATTTCGGGAGATATAAATTTTCTTCAAGACAAACTCTTCAAGCAAGGAAGCTCTCTCTCTCTCTCTCTTCAAGCAAGGAAGCCCTCTCTCTCAAAGAGTTCTCAAGCCTCCTTCATCTACACTTGAAGCTTATAAAGAACGAAGCTCTGTTGGATTAAACCAAAACGCCCCATAAGAGTTCTTCAACAACACTTTGAAGACGAATCAAAGGTACTCTTCAAAGCATCAAATCATCAAATCTTGCTTCGCAATACACACCCAAATTCGCGTTCTTGCAAAGCACAAATCTTGGCTTGATTACTCAAATAAATCAAGTCACCATACATCAAATCCAAGGAAAGAATCAGAGGATTGTCATATTCTTTTGAAAAAATATATTAAATAGAGATTGTACCCATTCATATATTAATAAAATCATATATTTGTACACATGTGCTTGTTTAATTTCAGGTGCTCAATATTATGTCTACACAGGGATAAGATTATTTAGGATATCATATCTATGAAATCTAATTTCAATGTTTTCTAATACTGTTTTTTACAAGGTCAAAGGCCTACTTCCTCAATATACATGTATGGAGGAGCCATACATCTTGATAGTGTTCAAAAGTTGTTAAGGTACAAACTCGTACATAATATATATATATATATATATATATATTAAAACAATAATAAAATAGCATCACCTTTATATCCTCCTAAAATATCAATAATAAAAAACTTAATGCATGAACAACAGCATATATACATACATTCACTCAGAGCTTGCAAACTACGCTCCTGTGTAAGCAGCTTCAGTTGCCTTCCCAATCCTCGTGCGACAAATTTGTGTTTTATTTATTATAGAGAATGTGACTTATGTATGGAGATTGTGGAACGTTATGAACTTGGAAATGAAATTCCTGTCAGTAACCAAAATGTTGAACGTTTTTATACTGCTTAGAAGGAATAGAATAAATTATTTACTCTCGTCACAAGCTATATACAACTTTATGAAAGGTTTAATGCACACGTTAAAGGTAAGTATATAGAATAAATTAATTCCTCTATTCACAAGCTAAACCTCGAGGACTTGGTTGCTGGCTTTAATTTTCTGTATTTTTCTTTTGATTGCTGGACTTCAGTCCTTACCTTTCTTCAATTTTTGGACACAATCTCTTGTTGTACTTTATATCAATATATCTCCTTCATTATCATTATTGCACGTGGGTGATTAGCCTACGGATTGTTAGAGTTGTCACCTAATTATTTAATTTAGAGTCATTAGAAAAATTAAATATAGTTATTTTATCAGAAATTCAAAAGATAAGAGACTATTTATAATTAAAAAAGTTATTTGAGATAAGTTGCTTTGTGTGATTTGAATGGAATTTAAAATTTTTTTGATAAGTTTCTAATTGGTGATCTATCTATTACTTCAGATGACGATTTATTTGTGTTAATAAATTTGATTTTTTCGAATTCATTATGAGCTCGTATTCCAAATAAATTCTTATAAAATGATCGATATAGATACCCTAACAAAGTTCACCTATTTTGGAAGATGGAAGAATTTCAAACTCGTGTACTATGGTTAAAAATAATTTTAATTAAAATTGATAAATATTTAAAATAATTTTGAGAATTTTCTGATCAACTCCTAATATTTAATTATCAGTCTCACTTATAAATTCAACATTTATACCAGAATATTAACTATTAATTCTCATGAATTAAAATTTTAATGATTATTAGAATACTAGTCAAATTCTCATGGATTTAATGAATTGATTATTAAATCTAAAATACATCCTGAAAAAAATAAAACATATCATTTATTTTATTTTTTTAACAAGATTTAATTTTTATATATTTTGAGAAACTTAATGGAATGCAACACACAAAAGTTTTTATTATTATTTATTATACATTTTTTTATATTTTTATAAGACCACATTTAGGGGGGGGAAAACAAATTTTTCTTGAAATAAAAACTACCAGTAACAAGCCTAAAAACAAGTTTCCTACAACTTTGAAAAGTAAATAGACTAGCTTCTCAGTCTGGGAAAGCTATACATGATTTCCAAAGTCTTCTTGCGCTGTTGAGCCATTCATTAAGCATCTGATTATTCTCATCACAACACGTCCTAAAAACAAATCTAACATTGTATAGTACTTTCTACAGAAGGCACGGTATGCTCAGCACGAAGGATTCTTCTCGCCATTCTCTGTCCTGAAACTAGTATGTATCAAATTGAGGAGAATAGAATAAAAGGAGCAAGAACATCAGGAAAAATGGAAGCAGCTATTAGTCCTCTGAACCTGAAAACTTAAATCAAACTGCCTTGATCTTTACGAAGTTTAAACCAGACAACAGAATCAAAGCATTAGTTAAAGTGTGCCGTAAAAAAAGCTTACCTTCTTCCATTTTGGCCATTGTCCTGTATCCTTTTTCTCTAGTGGTCTTACAACTTCAGTTTGAACCCCACAGACAGGAAATCATCCCTGAGAGAAACAACTGACATGAGGTACTAAATCAAAATAAGCAAACGACCACAAGGTATATAAATAATCAATCTTTCACCTATCATAAGCTGTTAGATTGACTTGTACGTTGACTTGTCCTCCCGATTGAAAAAGAAGACTTCTCATTGACTTGTCCCCCAAATTGAAAATGTTGACCGACTTCTCATTGACTTGAGACCCAAATTCAAAATTCAAATAGCATAAGTTGGTAACCTGCTATAGCTTAAAAAGAGATAAAAACAACTCTACCTCTCAACATTATTACATGGAGTTCCATTTCATTATCATCAATAAAATTAAATGGCTTCAAGAGAATCGATCACAGCAAATTCACTCTATTTTACCTTTTATTCATATCTGTCTTCCTCTTCTCCTCCTCCTCCTCATCTAGCTCTTGTTGCTTCTTCCAGTAAATTCGATCACCATCATTAATCCTAATAAGGCTTTCCACATACATCTCAGAACCAAACGAGCTCGGTCCACCACGAACCCTTACAACCTTAGCATGCTTATTTTTCCAATCATACCACAATAGCTTCTCACCATTCACTTCCAATAACACCTTACCACCATCTTTCGAATAAACCAAAGGTCTCAAAAACATAAAAGCACTAATCCACTTAATCCCTTGAACCGAGAACATCTTACACCAAGATTCCTTCACACCATATTCTTTCATAACCCACACATCAACACAAACATGCTCATAATTACACATTACACACAAATTCCCCTCTACAACCCCAACATCAACCTGAAAGTTCATACCCTTGTTCTCATAATCCGGCTGCAGCAATTCGAAAAACTTATCATCCCTAATATCAAAACCAAGAACACAATCTCTAATACCAAGTTGACGCCTTTGCGGGACAATCCAATGCAAAGCGTGACCTGCAAAAACACCATACCCTCTCCTATTCAAAATATGAAAAAAGGGCTTGCTTAATAACCTAAGCCGAATCGGCAAGCCCTCAATTTTCTTCCACTTATCATTCTTTAAACTATAAACCTTAACTTCATACTCGCAACCGAAACCACCACCACCATCACCGCCGCCATCTTCTCCAATCATTCTTTAAACTATAAACCTTAACTTCATACTCGCAACCAAAACCACCACCATCACCGCCGTCATCTTCTCTAACGAACTGTGCCATTCTCACCACTTTGTAATCATCACCATAAGAATCATAACCAAACCCATCATAAACATACCCAGTTGTCAAATCCCACCGTGGAATCTCAGTTTCCCCAATATAACATTTCTTACGCTCCCTTGTAGACAAATTATACACAGCAATATTTGTTTCAAAACGTCTCAAAAACACCAACCCATTAACCGAACCAATAACCTCAGTTCCACCACTAGAATAAAGGGGATGATGTTTAACCTCCACCGCATCAGATCATAAAGCATCAAAATCAACAGCGAAAAGATCCCTCTCACTACCAGAAAATCGATAAATACAAACGGTAATACCGAGGGAATATTTTCATCGGTAAATTTTCGAGGGATTTTATCGATGGAAATATTCCCTCAGTGTATACCGGGGGAATTACCATGGGAAAAAAAATTAAAACAAAGCAAAAAAGAAGATGAAGTGTCATTTTTACCAATGGAATTACTTTCGTCGGTAAAATTCATCAGTAAATTCGTTGGTGAATTGTGAACACTATTCATCATATCAATTACAAAGGGAATCACCGACGGAATTTTCCGTCAGTATTTTCTAGAGAGCTCCAGAACTGTTCACTTTTTAATTGTACTATTAATTGTTATTCTTTACGGACAAAATCACTGACGGATTGAAAAGTCATCGGTGTTATTTGATGGTTTTCTGAAAAAATTCAATTGATTTAAAATTTTCATTTAAATATTACAGACAGAATCACCGACGGATTGAAATAGCCACTTATTTCATTAATTCGTAACATAGACTATCCCATCCCAATTTGCAAATAATCTGCAAATGAAACTAAGCAACTGACAAACATTTTAGAATCTAGTGAGCTTCATGTAGTTTAATGCAGCAAATTACCTCTTTTCCATGTTTTCTCTGCTGTTTCTTCTGGTGAATTATAAGACCAATTTGAACCCTTCAGACAAGAAATCATCCCTGATAACAAAAACCAAGTCAAAACAACAAGTTACGTCAAGTGAGCTAAAGATAGACATGAAAAATGGAAGCATAAAATTCAGCACTGCATACCTCTTATTCCTATCCTTCGAGTCCTCATCTTCATCCTGTATCCTTCCATCAAGATGCCTATTCGGATTGACAGAAATAAGGCTTTCAACAGAAGTATCTGCTTCAAAGGAATATGGTATACCATGAATCCTATTCTTTACTTGTTTCCTCTTCAGATCATACCAGCAAAGGTCCAAATTGTCGTGTTCGATGAGAACTTCATCACCACTCTTTGAATAAGCTAAAGGCTTAAGAGATCTAAGAAACCCAATGAACTCATACTGTGCAACTGAAAACAGTTTAGTCCAGGACTCCTTTACCCCGTACTCTTTCATCATCCACACATCAACACGTTCACCTAGAAAATTTGCAAGAAAACACAGGCATCCTCTCAAAACCCCCAAATCAATATAAAAATTCTTATCCTTGTACTCAGGTTGCAGCACCTCCCTATAATCCTCAACTCCTAAATCCAATGCAACAACTATATTTGCCACATTCGATTCAGGATTCTCGCCCACAACCCAATGTAAAGCACCATTAGCGAAAACCCCATTTGCACCAGGATAGTGAACACAATAAGGCATATCACCAATCCTCCTCCACGATTGTTTCCTCAAACTATATACCTTAACCTCAGACTCAAAACTCCTCTTCCCCCCACCTCCAAATTGCGCAATCCTAACAAGCTTATAATCATCCCTAACACTATCATACCCAAATCCAAACACATAAACACTACAAGACTTGGTCCCAAAATACCTTTTCAGCTCAATAAGCAAAAAGGGCATCACACGATGCTTTCTAGTTGATGGGTTCCACACAGCAATATCATCAACAACATTAGAAATGCAAAGCAACCCATTAACAGAACCTAAAACTTTAATCCCATGATTATAACACATCAAAGGATGATTCAACTCTTTCAGAGTAACACAGTCATTTAAGACTAAATTTTGCTCAAAATCCATGTAGTGAACATGTGAAGTAGTTCTAAGGATGATGTAAAGATTGGAACTTGTGTCCATAGAGTGCTTCAAATGTAATTTAACGAAGTTTGGACCATCAATTAAAGCACACCATGGTTTAGATACAGACCTGCAACAAAGAAGTTCCTTTGCTGGTAATCTGCAGAGGATCTCCGCTATCATCTCAAGAGGAAGACCAGACATGGTTATGATGACTGATGAGAACTCGAAGGTCACTGTTAGCTAAGGTCTTCGCGTTCTGTGGAATTTTGTCATAGAAAATGTGAAGGAGAGATAACGTTGTTGGAAGTTAAATATCTGTCTTTGTTAATACAATAAATTACCTAAACATCAAGGGTAGTCATGTCTCAGGAAAAAAATCAAGGGTAGTTATTTCTGAAAAGAAAACATAAGGGTAGTGATTGTTAACTGTTATTTGGACAGTAAAGAGCAGCTTCGTCACATTGATTCACTTTTGTCAAATGAAGAAAATCTTTTGGTATCTAATGTTTCATTACTATTACATTTAGTCCTTTTCCTTGCATAAATTAGCACTACGATTCTATTTCAACTTTATTGGTCATGGGAAGGAATCAATAACGCTATGTCAACAAGAATAAATGATAGAAAAGATGAAGATATTACCAGAGCTATGAAATCAGCCCGATTGGTCAATTTAATAACATATTAATTTAGAGTTTAACTCGAGATTAATTTTATATTAAATTATTTTTTTAATCAAAATAATATTATTTGTAAGTTTTTTTTTTAAAAAAAAAACAATAGCTTGGATTGATCGACCCACTGTCAACTCTACTTCCTTAGTGCCAAATTTAGGTCTTGATCTTCATGTCTCCTCTTATATCAAGAACAAGAAGAAACAACAGAGACAAAAACCATGGAGTTATATATTGGTGAGACCAAATGTTTCTCATTGAAGGCAATCAATTTCCTTTGTGCCAGGGGAGCTCCCATATCTCAGACAAAAACTTATTCCTGCTAGGTAAACTTAACTAAAGATAAGATGATCGAGGTGTTTTCTTTTCTTTAAATAGCATTGGCAATTTTTGTTTTGTTTTTACAAACTAGTGCATTTTAAAAACTATTTGAGAACGTAGCATAGATTCATGAGTCACGTTCAAATTTAAGTTTTGTTTTTGAGAATAATACATTCTATAGATTTCACCACCCACAGCCTATATCTTTATGTTATTTTTAAAATATATTATTTTTTTAAATATATTTTTGATAACTTCTAGTTTGTCAAAAACAAATTTTGGGCAGTGGTTTTTTTAAAAAAAAAACCTACAAGTTGATCGATCCACTGATTTCGAGATGCTCGGAAATTCACTTTATGAGTGCCTAGAAGGAAGCAACCCACTCAGAATATGCCCATTATTTTACTTGAGGAGCATCTTTTTTTACACTTTGCTTTCAGCAACTTGTAAGCATTGCAGCAAGGCAAGGAAATTGCCTTCTCACTTTTGGCACAAGGGAGGAGACGGGGCATGCCCGAAATTGTAAAGAAGGCTGAAGTCGGTCTGAAGAATCGACAAAGCATATGAAGAAAGAAACCATGTAAAAATGGTGAAAAGGACACAAAACTATTCATAGGAATGGATTGCACTTGAAGAAATTACAAGCACTGGCCTGGACGGCAAAAAAAATAGCTTGTATTTCCTGATAAGCTTCCACTGTAAATTCCTCCATTCACCCCATCTGTACAGAGACTAGAGAACCTAGCAAAATGGCCAGACCACAACCCCATAAATGAATGGGACAAAACTGAATCAAGGGGGACTCTTTCAATTGACCAAAAGCATATATTGCAGCTATTTCATGAAAGGTCTTGAACTGGTGAGCTCGAGAATTGACCCGGTTCAAGCTTGAATAGTCCTTGCAATGATGCTAGAAGAATTGTACAGTGAAATTGCTAAAAGGAATGCTATAAAAATTGCGAAAATGAATGGGACAAAAAGGAATGCTAACATGACAAAATCAGAAGTTTCCCAGAAGTTTTCATAGCCAAATCTATATCCATTTCCACATCACAGCAATATAACTGTTGCTTCAATACCAGCAGGCCAGTGGATTCAATCTTCGGATAATTAGGGAGCCCCTGTGTGCTATTTTGTTCAAATTCACAAATCCAATGGTTCCAATGGATTTCCCCCATAACACGGAAAAGTACATATGCAATGTCATTAGAACATGAGAACAATAAATTTCCACAGCAAGTACCCTGCGAGATGTTCTAATGACATCTACCAGATATTTGGTCAACTTGATAGAAACAAGCTACCAGGTCTTCTCATGAACATTAAAAGCAGATAAATCTGCAATAGGAAAGAAAAAAGAAAAAACCCATATATTTGTAGGCTTGTGGGTTAATTGCCTCATTATATTCATTTCAGAAAAGCTTCCTACAACTTTGAAAGTAAACAGACTAGCTTCTCTGTCTGGGAAAACTATACATGATTTCAGAAGTCTTCTTGCACTGTCGACCATTAAGTATCTGATTATTCTGATCACAACATGTCCTTAAAACAAATCTAGCATTGCATAGTACTTTCTACAGAAGGCACGGTATGTTCAGCATGAAGGATTCTCTCTCCACTCTCTGTCTTCAAACTAGAATGTATCATAACTCTAGTATCAGCCCTGGGGAGAATAGAATAAGAGGAGCATGAATATCTGGGAAAATGGAAGCAGCTATTAGTCCTCTGAAACCTGAAAACTTAAATCAAACTGTCTTGATCTTTACAAAGTTTAAACCAGACAACAGAATCAAAGCATTAGTTAAAGTGTGCCGTACAAAAAGCTTACCTTGTTTCGTTTTGGCCATTGTCCTGTACCCTTTTTCTCTACTGGTCTTACAACTTCAGTTTGAACCCCACAGACAGGAAATCATCCCTGAGAGAAACAACTGACATGAGGTACTAAATCAAAATACGCAAATGACCACACGTTATATAAATAATCAATCTTTCACCTATCATAAGCTGTTAGATTGACTTGTACTTTGACTTGCCATCCCAATTGAAAAGGAAGACTTCTCATTGACTTGTCCCCCGAATTGAAAATTTAGACCAACTTCTCATTGACTTGAGACCCAAATTCAAAATTCAGGTCCCATCAACAAATAGCATAAGCGGGTAACATGCTATAGCTTAAAAAGAGATAGAAAACTTTACCTATCAAAATTACTTGGAGTTCCATTTCATTATCATCCGTAAAATTAAATGGCTTCAGGAGAATCAATCACAACAAATTCACTCTATTTTACCTCTTATTCCTATTTGTCTTCCTCTTCTCCTCCTCCTCATCTAGCTCTTGTTGCTTCTTCCAGCCAATTCGATCACCATCATTAATCCTAATAAGGCTTTCCACATACATCTCAGAACCAAACGAGCTCGGGCCACCACGAACCCTTACAACCTTAGCATGCTTATTTTTCCAATCATACCACAATAGCTTCTCACCATTCACTTCCAATAACACCTTATCACCATCTTTCGAATAAACCAAAGTTCTCAAAAACATAAAAGCACTAATCCACTTAATCCCTTGAACCGAAAACATCTTACACCAAGATTCCTTCACACCATATTCTTTCATAACCCACACATCAACACAAACATGCTCATAATTACACATCACACACAAATTCCCCTCTAGAACACCAACATCAACCTGGAAGTTCATACCTTTGTTCTCATAATACGGCTGCGGCAATTCGAAAAACTTGTCATCCCTAATATCAAAACCAAGAACACAATCTCTAATACCAAGTTGACGCCTTTGCGGGACAATCCAATGCAAAGCGTGACCTGCAAAAACACCATACCCTCTCCTATTCAAAATATGAAAAAAGGGCTTGCTTAATAACCTAAGCCGAATCGGCAAGCCCTCAATTTTCTTCCACTTATCATTCTTTAAACTATAAACCTTAACTTCATACTCGCAACCGAAACCACCACCACCATCACCGCCGCCATCTTCTCTAACGAACTGTGCCATTCTCACCACTTTGTAATCATCACCATAAGAATCATAACCAAACCCATAATAAACATACCCAGTTGTCAAATCCCGCCGTGGAATCTCAGTTTCCGCAACATAACATTTCTTACACTCCCTTGTAGACAAATTATACACAGCAATATTTGTCTCAGAACGTCTCAAAAACACCAACCCATTAACCGAACCAATAACCTCCGTTCCACCACCGGAATAAAGGGGATGATGTTTAACCTCCACCGCATCAGATAAAGCATCAAAATCAACAGTGAAAAGATCCCACTCTTTGAGGATGATACTGTGATTAGATTTGACAGTGATGGAATGGTTTAGATGGAGATTGATGAAGTCCTGGCCGTCGATTAAGGAACAAATTGGCTTTGATAAAGATCGGAAACGGACGAGGGATTTCACCGGAAGTTGAAGCAAAATGTCGTGAATGATTTCGTGTGGGATTCTCGACATTTTTTAATGAAGAGGTTAGGCTGGTTAGTTCATAGGTGGTCATGTTGGGTTGCCTGCCGCTATATCTAAGAGCTAGAGTGAGTGGACAGGTGGGAGAAGGCAACCAAGTACATTCTGAGAGGTGGCCTTTTTGGGCATGGGAGTAAAAAGACAAAGGCCCTACAGAATCATTGGTATCCATATTTATGCTCGAGCAATGGATTAATTGAATTAATTTATAAATTAGAAAATCAAATTGGAATTATTTTAAAATGATAGGTTTTACTTTTAAAAATTTGAAATGATATCTTATAGATAAAATAAAAAAAAATGTCCAAGTGAACTCAATAAAAATTCACTTAAATTTAGTTAGATGAACCAAATTGACTAATCAAATCATTTGAATTTTATCAAATTAAAAAAAGAGAGTTCTACTATAGTAATAGTAATTCTATTTCTGATTTTTAAAATAATTAAAAAAAAAACTTAATTCAAACTAGATTATGTGTGAATAAAATTATCAAGTCAACTCATTAGTCACGATTAAGATTATCAAGTCAACTCATTAGTCACGATTTATTAACCGTGGTTGTATTGTAGAACTAATATCTCAAAAGTTACTTTTTTATACTATTATTCTTGTTTTAATTTTTTTCTAGTAAAAAGAAAATTGATATGAAAGCTTAATTTAATTAGTGAAATTTCTTAAATTTTCTACGAAGAATTATGAACATGAGATTTTGCCTTAGTATATAAAAAATTCTTAATATAAAATAAATTTTATATTTAAATAGTTACTAAAATGTCAATCTCAAAAAAAAAAAATCAAATACTATTCAAAGTCACTCAATTTATAATGGATGAGTTCTTATCATTATTTTGTCAAATTGAATAATGTAACTGATATTGGTATTTTAGACCTATCTTATTATAATTTTTGCTATTAATTTTTTACAACCGATTATTGGAAATAACTTGAGATTACATATTGTTTCAAGTCACTGATCGGTCGATCGGTGAGCAAATCAACGGCTAGCCCGCTGTAATGTGGTGTACTTTGGAGGTTCGTCTTTGAACTTGCTTTGAGCTCTTCTGTGTGTGTATAATTTTGTTAGTAAGAGTATTTCCACATCAGTTTTTGGATAATGAAAAACAAGAAAATGTTTGTTTCAAGGAAAAAAAATGAAAAAAATAAAACAAATAAGAGTTCAGCCTCAAACATTTCCAGATTTCTTTTTTAATTATTCAATTATTTAGCCGATGATGAGGAATTGCCTAGAGCCACAAAGGCATAATATAATCATAGGTACATGACAAAGTCCCATCCGAATTGAATCATTAAAAATAATAATACTAATCCAAAAAAAAAAACCAATAGTGCTCTATACCTCATTCCCAAAGACGACAGGCCCGAGAAAATCACCAAGCCCTCTATACCTCATTCCCAATGACGACAGGCCCGAGAAAATCACCAAGCCTTCTATACCGAGCATCCAATTGTTCACTTTCTTCAGGAGGGCATTGCTTACTTAGACCGAGATGTGCCATGAGAAGACAGACATGAGTGAGTAGCTCCCCACCTCGGGCAAGTGCATCAGCATGCTCCTTCCATCCACAATGACCTGCAGCATACATCAGCATTTCCACCCACACTTCACTTATCATTTCCCATTTCTTTTCATTTGGCCAACCATCCAGTGACTCTGATGACTCCAATGACTGCAATGACATAGCAAGCATGCAACCATCTAGTAGGGCTGACTTTTCTTCCTCTTGTTTTATAATTTCCATTAACATGGTAGACGGACTTTGAAGCAATTGATAGAAAAATGCTTTCACTAGAGCTTCGGGAAACGATAATGCATCCAATTCATCTATGGAAATATAGTTGTTGTTCTCTTCTTTATGAGTATTCCTGATGAATAGGAGACGACTCAAATGAATTCTAGTATCAGTATACCTTGTTCCGCTAAGCTCTATCGCTAACATATTTGGACATTGAACCAGGAGATACAACATGTAGTTAGATAATGATCTGCTCATTGCGCAATTTTGATGATTCGCAAAACCGCTCTTCCTGGAATCGTCAATG